TCAGAAAATAGATGGCTCACACTTTCTCCCATGCAATGGGTAAAATTAATCTTTGGGTGCTAAAACCACTACAGCCACAGGTTTTATTTTTAAACTTTTTTTTTTTGCCCACATTCATTAATGTACATGCTAGTGCTGTGAATCCCTAACAAGGTTAAACAATTTTAAAAGACTGTTCCTGATTTAAGAGAATTTTGTTGAAAAATGCCACAGGGAACTTGGTGACCGAGATGACAGATAAATGTAACACAGAAATTAAAAAAAAAAAAAAAGAATATGTAGGAACCCTCCTGAGATAACACTTTGGTCATGTGTTGAAATATTGACTGTGTCATTTATTATAATTAAGGCTTAATTTCAACACTCATGTTTGTTGGTGTTGTCCTTTTTAAGTGCTGTTGTACAAACAAACAAAAAACCAAACAAACTGCTGGATTCTGCACGTGGGATGGGGAAACCCGGGATGTATGGACAGGTTGGTGAATGAGATGCTGGAAGCAGTGCCATGGAAAGGGACCTGAGGGTCCTGGTCAATGGCAAATGGAATGTGAGTCAGCAGTACCCTGGCAGCCAGGAGGGCCAAGTGTGTCCTGGGTACATCAGACACAGCATCACCAGCTGGGCGAGGGAGGGAATTGTTCCACTCTGCTCTGCTCTGCTCTGGGGAGGCCTCACCTCGAGGGCTGGGGGCAGTTTTGGGTGCCACAGTGTAAGAAAGGTACAAAGCTATTAGAGAGCATCCAAAGGAGGGCAACAAAGATGGTAAAAGGCCATGAGGGGAAGCTGTATGAGGAGCAGCCACGGTCACTAGGTCCGTCCAACCTCGAGGAGACTGATGGGAGACCTGACTGCAGCTAAAATCTCCTCATGAGCAGAAGAGGAGGGGCAAAGACTGATCTCTTCTCTGTGGTGATCAACAGTGACCAATGACAGGACCTGAGGGACTGGCTTGGAGTTGTGTCAGGGAAGGTTTCTGTTAGATATTGGGAAAAGGCTCTTCCCCCACAGGGTGGCTGGGCACTAGAACAGTCTCCCCAGGGAAGTGGTCACAGCCCCAGAGCTGACACAGTTCAAGAAGTGTTTGGACAATGCTCTCAGGCCCATGGTGTGACTCTTGGTGTGTCCTGTGCAAGGCCAGGAGTTAGACTCGATGATCCTGATGTGTTCTGTCCAACTCAGCATATTCTGTGATTCTGTAAACAGTGTTAAGCGAAGAGAGAAAGATAATCTGTGTAAAAATCCATCCATTTTCATCAGGGACACTCTCTAGAAATAGCATGATCCAAGGTTTAAATAGAGCTCTTGAGTGATAACCCTAGCTCTACCACTAATGCTCCGCCCAAGGCAAATTATTTTACATCTATAAAATGGAAATTATAGCTACTAACCTGCTTTACAGGAGATTTGCAAAGATAAATTACTTAATGTGTGTGCAATATTTTCAACATGCAAAGTGCCATAAAGCTCCATGAATTTTTATCTCAGACCTTGTTTTAAAACTTGAGTGAGCAGTCATAGAATACAAACTACAATGCAAAATACGATGTTGACAATCTCAAACACCATGCAAAATCTGAGCAAACCAGATTGTAAAACTCCGCTAATTCATCTCTACTTAATTTCTTCTCTTCCAGTAAAAGGCCTGCCGTTTGAAACTGCTTTCACAACTCACAGAGAAGAACAGCATCACCATTGAGGAATGGTTGCTGATAAATTTTTTTGAGGGGCAAATGCTGACCCACTCTTGGTGGATAATGAAAAGCAGCATTTTTTTTTTTTTTTCATGTAAGGAAAGGATCCAGCAGCAGGGATTTTTTTACACTTGAGAGGATTTTGAAACTCTGTGTTTGGAGGGAATGTGGAAGAGATAGGAGAATTAATCCTACTTTTTCCATTGAAAGGAAAATCAGTTATTCATTCTCTTACAGCTACTTCTCTCCATGTCTGGCAAAGTAACCAGCTCAGTGGTGCAGGCAAGTGGTAGTGAGTCAAATATTGCAATCCAAAAGTATGTTCATGTGGAAGAACTACCAGATTACATGATCTTCACTTCATAGGTCAGCATGTTTATCCTTAATATATAGAAGACAAGATATCTATCTATCTATCTATCTATCTATCTATCTATCTATCTTTCTATCTACATGCTATAAAGCAAGCAAATCAAAAGAAAGCTGAAGACAGATGTTGCATTTAGTATTTTCATTATGAACTATCAATTTAAAAATTGATGATCAAAAGGTCGACCTTTGTTCCATGACCTTTGATCCATGCACACATGCAGCCAGTAATAAGTAATAAAATTTTGCAACATGAATATTGTGTGCCCTTGGTAAAATTCATGTTCCCTCCAAAGGAGTTATACCAAAGCAGCACTGGGTATGTGACCAGCTGTTTAGGGAATATGTTGTGTTTGAATTCAATCCATTTCAGAAATTGCTCAGTTGGCTAAAAAAGGCCTGAAATTCCTGCCTGTGGTAAGCTTCTCAAACTTCAGTCTTAGAGTTCTTTTACGTGTCTCGTGACCTTGGCAAGCAGAGCACAATGCCACAAAAGTAACACATTTGTGCTCACAAAGGTGGGAGGACAGAATTTACAGCAGCTTGCTGTGCAGCCCCTTCAGCAGTACTGCACTGCCAGCAGCAGATGAGAGTCTCCTATAGTGGGTAGCTGCAGAGTGGGAAAAAAATTTAAAGGGGAATTTGCCTAGTCTCTCCTTGCTCACCGTGTCAGCAATGAAGCAGGTGTTTAGTTAGGATCGAATACTTGAATTTATGTGCGTTTTTGTCAGGGCAGTACATGACTGGGGGGGAGGGGGAGGAGGGCGGGGGGGGAGATGTGAAGCAAGTATGTAATGTTCCTGCTCAGTATATCAGGCAGAATCACAAAAATTCTGCAAAGCAAGTATTTGTTCTTCAGCATGTTAGGACAGGATTTGGACCAGTTTCTCCACTAAATTCACATGCAAAAATGTTTTCTTTTTTTGCTATATTTGGGTTGGTTTTCATTTGTTACTTTGAATCCTTTCTTTTCTAGATTTTAAAAATCCTGTTACCTTCTATATTGGTAGCTTGATATCCAGTGTGCATGTCTAGGGGCACATTTTTATTTATTATTTACCTACAGAACTGATTTAAAGTTCATTTCTTGGTTGTCTTAATTGCATTTCCTTTATCATAGTGCAAGCTCTAATCATTAGTGTGTGTTGAGGATGCTTTGCCAATCTTCCCTCCCTAGAAATTGATCTCTTTTTCCTAGGTCTCTCTCACTTTTAAAGATCCTCCTATTTGTCTAAATAAATGAAAATTAGCCACATACACATAGTCTTTATGAAGTTGCACTGTGTGAGAATCTTTGAAGCAAATTTGTACTAATATTGTATTGTAAGCTAAGGTTCTGCCCTCAGCTACAGCCACGAAACCAATCACATGAATGGAGTTCCTCGGATGTTGGTAATGTCTGTTTACTTCAAAGTGCACCTTTCACATTATTTACAAAATATAATTGAACCAGAATGTCAGCTACAGCATATGAAAGCTGTCTTGTGATGCAACTCATCCCAATAAATGATTAAAGGCATGTGGCCAGGCATCGGGCTTTGTGCTAGGATGTGTAAATGGGATGGTAGTTTTCTTTGCCTAGTTAGGAGAGCGGCTAGTTGATCTATTAGAAAAAAAAAAAAATTACAGAGGAATTTGACTGGTAGAAGGGTGATGGATCTCTCAGGAAAACATGCATAACAGAGAAAAGTCAAGGTACACTCAGTGACTATTTTGCAATCTATTGTGCTCCAGTACTCTGTGACGGACACAGACGTTTAGCATGGAATTTCCCAAACCTCATGTCATTATTTGCTGTAGTTCTGGAGTTCCCACTTAATCACAGCACTTTTATGTCTTCATATCCTATTGACTGTGTAACCTAAGCCCTCAAAAGAGTTTTCTGAAGAAATTACCACCAGCGTTCAGCAGGTTTCAGTGTTGAATCCTGATTTACTCGGAGAAACCCCAGCCCAGACAAGTGGCACTTATGTGTCCTATTTGCATATCTGAGTGACAAGACTGTGCTTCCTCCCACTTTCCAGAGAAACAGCCTGTTAAAAAACCCATAGGAATATTTAAATGAATCCTGAATACCTTGGGTTTTCCTCTTGAGAGAAAGGAGCACCATACCGGTACTCTTTTGCTTAATGTTTGTAGATGTACTTGGAGCACCTCAGGAGCACTTGTGTTATTTTGTGTTTGTTAAGCTTGCTACGCGGAGCAAGGGAACTTTCTCCGTGCTGGCGGCAGGGGAATAGAGGCGGTAGGGGCAGACATGCACCCTGCTATCCGTGCGCTAAATACGCATTAAAACCGCGCTGTTTCATTCCACGCACGCACTTGGCCTTGCAAATATTGGGAGTAAAATGACGAGGAGAGCAGGACTATTCGCAGAGGCCGAGTGGGCTGCGCTGGTTTCGGGGGCAGAAAAGAGGCCGGAGTCCCTGGGGAGGGGATCGAGCCTCCGGAGCGGCTTCACTGCTCTCCAGTAAAACGCCTCGACTCTGCCTTGCGCTGGCGCGGCGACGGGACAGCTCTCCCTGAGGAAGGGGACGGGACAGCGCTTCTGCTGCAAGCCTGCCGGGACACCCGCACTGCTGGAGCCCTCTGCCCCGCACCACTCTCGGGAGGGAGCACACGGGAAGGCAGGAGCTGCGTTAGGGCCACGCCGCTTTTTTGCCAGCAGTGCCGCAAATGCACGCTCATGCCTTTGGCAGCTGCCGGGCAGAAACTGCCAGGAAGTAGAAAATCCACGTATACACACCCTCCCGAGCAAGGAGGAACGACTGTACTATCTCGTCCCCGCTCCCACCTCCTCTCAACCTGTATTCCGGGACAGGTGGGGGGCCCGCCCCTTCTCCACCTCGGCGGGGACGGCGCTGCCGGTTTCTCCTCCCCTCTCCTCCTTGCTCCCTCCCAATCCTCCTCCTCCTTGGCGTCCCCAGAGGGAGCCCCTGCGCTCCGCGACCGAGTGGAGAGCGCAGCCGGGCGCACCCCGTCCCACAGCCGGCTCCAGCCGCTCCGCAAGCCCTTGTGCATCCGCCGCCGCCTGCAGCAGGAGGAGCAGAGGTGGGAGGAGGAGGAGGAGGAAGGCGGCAGCCCGCCCGCAGCGGGGCACGCACGTGTGCGCGCAGACCTCGACGGCCGCCCTCCAGCATGCTGCTCGGACCCGCGCAGGGCTGAGCGCCGGAGAGGAGCTGATCGCTGCGGCGGGAGAAGAGCAGAGGGGAGCCGGAGCGGCTCCGCGGAATCACCCGTGCGCCCGTCCCGTCCGACCCGCACGCAGTCCGCCGAGGGAGCGGCGGTCCCGCAGCATGGGCGGCCGCAGCCCCCGCGCTGCCGCCGGGCCCCGCCGCGCCGCTGTCCTGGTGCTGCTGCTGGGGCGCCTCGCTCTCTGCCTCGCCGTGGAGGGAAAGAAAGGTAGGGGGGCGGGGGAGCGAGGGGGCGAGGGCGCTGGGGTCCCGCCGTCCTCTGCCGGCTGAGTACTGGGGACCAGGGAGCCGGGGCTGCGGGCGGCTGCGTGCCGCGGCCTCCCGTGGGGAGAGGCGGAGGGAAAGTCCCAACTACTTATTTCCCTAAGAAGAAAAAACAAATCAAAACAAAAAACCCACCCCAAACACAGAGAGAGGGGAGAAATGGGGAGAAAACCAAACCTATAGCAGCGATCACGCAGCCCTGACTTCCTGATTCTTTGCTTATTTTCTTTTGTGGGGGTGGAGGAAATAAAAGGGAATAAGCCTTGGCACATCTCATCTGTTGTGCTTCTCTTCTTTAGTGTTTCTTTTTACTTCTTTCCCCCTTCCCACGTTTCCCAGTCGCTCCCCGGAGAGCACTCCCCGGCTCAGCCCAGCACAGCCGCTCTCGGCTCCCCTGCACCGGGGCGGCGGGGAAAAGCCGCGGGGTTCCCGAGTAAGCGCCGCTCCGGTGACCCGCTGTCGCTCTGACCCGGACACCTCCTCTTGTCCCGTTCAGAAATACTCGTAGTAATAATAGAAAGAAGTATACACCTGGGGAGAGGGTGACTGAAAAAAAGGGGAACTTCGTGTGGGTTCTGGCTCCCCAGTTATCAGAAAGAGGAGCGATTCATCCCTGCCCGACTCGGCGCTAAGGAGCCGCCGTCCCGTCCCGTCCCGTCCCGTCCTGTCCCGAGCCTGCCGGCGCTCCGGCCCCGGCGCTGCCCGCCCGTCCCGGCGGTGCGTGGGAACAGCACGGCGGGGCTGGCTGTGGGGCCGGGGCGTGGGGCTGCCACGGGTGCTCGGGTTTTCCTTCTTTATTGGAGAAGCTGTTTCAGAGGGTGAGAAGACGTTTCTGGCCGGTCGGACCCGTCACATTTTCTCTGTGTGTGGTGTTCCCTTTTGTGAGTTTGGAGAGCAGGCCCCGGCTGCTGTTCCAGCCGGAGAGCAGTCCTCTTTATCTTGGAAATCTGCCAGCCAGAGGAAAAAATGCAGATTTGGGTGGTTTGGTTTTTCTTCTTTTTCCTTTCATTCTTTTTAAAGAAAAAGCGGGAGAAGAGAATTATTACTTACTCGAAGGGCTGATTGCATGGCTCATAGCAACTGAGTTAGAGTCTTTCGTGACTGTGGACTGTAAAGCCGCCCTGAAAGTGAGGAACACCCCATCCAAAAGAACTAGTTGCACAACCTTTAAAAAGCGGAAAGATTCTCTTGTTCCAGAACTCAAGTTCATACCTGTTGTTGATGTAACATGGGCAATTTTTCTTTCCTGGTTTTCTTTTTATTTATTTATTTTATCCTCATCCTTTGAAGGTGATGAGAAGTAAAGTGCCTCCCATCTGCTCTGCCTGTCTTTAGAGATGCAGTCTCAGGTGCACATGCCCTGTATAATATGTTGAGTGAGGAGAAATACCTTGTTTATAATGCCTAATTCTGTGTCTTACAAGCTTAGGAGGTTGCCAGTTTTTTGAGGATTACTAAATAATCAATGGCTACATGATAAATCCAGTAGAGGTTATTCTCAGGATGTTGTGTCAGCAAGTAACTGTTCCTCTGGTAAGAGCTGGAGGCTCAGTGGCGGAGGTGGAGGCAGAAGGATTTCTTCAGAAAGCATTAATCAATTGATTTGACTTCATTAGTTTCTCCCCACACTTGAAGATAAGCAAGAAAATTACTCAGAGGCACAAAATGAAGCAGCATCTGAGAATCGTGCATTATTGATTTGAAGCAACAGGTCCAGCAGGTAGCAGAGGATCAGTGTATGTTTGGGACTGCCTCCTTGGTCAAGTGATAAGATCCAGCATCAGAATTCAGAGAAATACTGAAAGGAAATTTGCTGTCATAAATATATGCAATACTTCTGCAAGTTCAAATTGCATGTGAAATGGCACTTCTTAAAACTTCAACCTGATTTGTTCTATTACCAAATGGAGTGGTCTCAAAAAAGAAAATGTGCCTGGGCAGGTGTTAGAAGAACATCAGAATCAGCCTATAAAATCCAATCAACATAATGTTTGAATGGAAATTTAAATACAATTACATCTTCTCCCAAAATTGTAGAATTAATTTCTTGAAGATGGATGAGAGAAAACTGGTTTTCTTGTAACACTGTAACAATTAAGGTACAAACAAAAGCCTAATTGAACATATTCCAGAACCAAACAGCATTGCTCAAAAGTGAAGTGCTCTCATCACAGGGATCAATACCCGTCTCTATGTACCAGCTATGATGTTGACCCACATTAAGCACAATAGAACTAATCCAGACTTCCACTAATCTACCCGGGAGGCCTGCTTGGTGGTACCTGAGATAAATACCTGTGATAGCTGGCATGCCACTTACGCTGGATGCATTTGACCCGTGTCCTTTTTGTGTGCCAGTGCTCGGTGACAGTGCTACGGTTCAGCAAATTGCTTTTTGTTGCTACACATTGGTTTTGTATCTCTAGTTTTGATCTGTAGCTGCAGCCATTGTGGGATGGGAGTGTGCTGCTCCGTGTCAGGAGTGAGCACGCAGGCGTGCCAGGCAGCTCGGAAGCTGCCAGAGTGGACTGTGGTAGCCTTCTGTACCTGGAGTCTTATACAAAGGACTAAGTTCTTTAAGGGTATCCAAGTATTCATGTCCATGTGAAGTAAAAAACTTTTGTCTAATGTCTTGTGCAGTGTTTATGTGTGGGCTGTGTGCGTTTTGTCTTGTAGTTTCTGCACTGTGTATTTTTCCATGCTTACTTGTGACAAATACCTACAGGTAGATGAGTCTTTGTGGATTGTGCAGAGCTTAATCCAGTTACATGCAAGCATCCAGTCCTTTTTTAGATGCCCTCCAGTGTAACCTGGCCTTCTCTGTGGAGCAGAGATCTGTCACGAGCCCATGAGTTGTGCCTGCTATGGGGGCCTCCCAGGAGCAGAGGGCTGCCCACACATCCACAGGGTGGCTGAGGAATCAGCAGTGTTCTCTGTCTAGCTGGTACCAGGTAAAGGATATCTCATACTCCTGTTGAAGTCCCGGGAGAGCTGGCACACTGTTCTCTCATTCTTGTGTTTGCATTACCACTGACACAAGAGGAATTTTCTATGTGGACAGGAGCTGGTAGTATGTTTGTGTAAGTATTTATTGTGTGAGGTATTGTCTATGCAACCATTTATTATTTTCTATTTTCTTGGTAAATGACCAAACATTTTTGAATTTGCAAACTAAAATAAATCTGTGTAGTCTTGATGGTAAATACAGTTAGAGAAATGGAAACTTAGATACCGATATGGCCCGATTTGGTGGGATAATAGAAATAAATAAATAGTGTTGAGTGTAGAGCTGCTTTTACTCCAGTGCCTCAGTGTGTGAATGCTTAAGAAAAAAACGCAAAACCCATCATTAAGAGCAGTGAAGGGAAGGTAAAATGCTAGCAAGTAATCTTAATTCAGGCAATCTGCAAAAAATAGTGACTATATGCAAAATTTTATGAGGGAGATTGGCCTCTCAGCAAAGTGTGTGTGTATGGTGAGCAAACTAGATGTTGAAGTGCTACTAAATACAAATGTGTTATTTCTTGCATCAAGAGTATATGAAGAGATTTTCAGATAAATAGGAAATCAAGATCAATGCCCTGGAGACTTTACAATCAGAGTAGTCCATTGTAATTTATTTGTTAATTTATAAAGAGAGACTTTTGGGGAGTGTCGCACAATGCCATTATGGTCCTCAGGGCTGACTTTTGCATTAAGGTATCCATGTATCACTGAAATCTGGAATATGCTAGCTTTAGCAGCAAGATAGCTGACTAGCCAAACCAGTTCCTTCAGAAAGTGTCCTTATCTTCCTTGAGCACAAACTGCCTTTGCTTAATAGCCCTTCGGAAACAAGCCTAGTGGAAGGTTTACTTCATTTTTGGGAGGATGACAGTACCTTCATGGAATGGTTTTGCATAGAAACTGTTGATGTTGCTACAAACTCTTGCTCTAGTCCAGGTTTCAGTAGTATGTGTGCATCTGAGAGTACAGTCACACCGTGTGTGTGAGTGGATTATCCCAGAAAGAACTGATACTCAAAATCAGTGTCAGCATGTTATGTTATAAGCACCAGCATTTACGGGTATGAGAACTTGTGTTAAATCTCATGTTAGACTTGCATCTGTATTGCAAAAGGGTTTGTGTAACACAAATTTGACATGTAGATCTTTTATTTGAGGGAGCCAGAACAGGCTGTACTCACAAAAGCATCCTCTGGCTGTTCTATATTAGGAACGCTTCCTGGGGTGACCTGGCTGACAAACTTTATAAATCTACACTAGTCAAATTCTGTAAAAAGATTACTTGCTAAATAGAATAATTGCCATTTTGGAATTGTATAAATTGCATAAGGCATCTTCTAATTGTATTTATAATTTCTCAAACCTCCGTTCGGCTGCACTGCTCTCCTTGGACATCTACTAGTGGAAAATGAACTTTTGTCAGTCAGGGCTCATCTGGCACAAGAATCACATTCAACTTGGCTGGGAAATCACTAGCTTTATCAGAAAGAGAAAGTTATTAGGAAATGCAGCAGAGCTGTTATTTGCTTCTCAGTGGCAGGATCGTTCTCACTCTTTGACTCCTGCTTTTGCTTTGTGGAGCTGTGGGAGGTGTGTAGCCTGCGATGAGCACTCGAGCAGCAGTTTCTGCGGTGACAGGGATAGTTGCCTGTCTCGCACTCGCCTCGAGGTTAGCTTGAGCAACACATCTTGCTCTAAGTGCAGAACTTGCCTCTCTGGATCCTGAGCAGTGCTTCACGCAGCACCTGTGATAGAGACCATGGCTGGGAGCTGTGTGATGCTGCGCTCTATGGTGGAGGAATAGGGATAATAATGAGGGGCCCTCACCGCTGGGATCACCCTTTAAACAAAGCTTCTGCAATGCCACACACCTCTGGTGATAAGGATGGTACAAGAAATGAGTTGGATGTGACCCATCAGAAGCCCTCCATTCCTGAGC